CCTCAGCGTGCTTCATGCCCAGGCACGAGAGGCAGCGATCGTGACCATCACCCAGCGCCAGGTAACGACCGCATCCAGAACGCCCGGGTGATACGTTGTCTATAGCAAGACCCACATCGTCTTTATAAAGACGTAACGTCAAGTTTGCCAAGCAACGTCGTCTTTAAAAAGACGCACCCGAAATTGCTCTTTTAGGGGAAAAAGCTCTTTTAGCGTGCTGAGGCGCACAGGGGAGATGATCATCTGCAACACAAACAGGGGGTAGTGCAGCCTGATGTGTGCAACCCACTCGACACGGGAAACCACCACCGCTGAAGCGCCGTCCACCAACACGAAGAGCTCTCCAAGAGCACGCTGAACTCGTTCAGTCTTTTCTCTCAGTAGAGTAGTCAGGAGCAGAACGATGTGATCGCTCGGCTCCAAAGCGAAAAGCTGAATATGCACTGCATCTGCTGCCTACTTATACTCACGCTGTGATCAGCAGCAGCTGGATGCAATAATCGCATGCCAATGTGCATTGGCTCGTTTAGTTTACACTCGAAGTAGATTGGTCCCTCTAAGCGAGATCCCAATTCCAATTCGTCGGTCCTCCGACGTGATGTCGAGAGTGACCGACTGAAAGGGAACTTTACATTTCTGTGTATATGATGAGGATAGTTTTACTCAAATGAAACGATCAAATGCTCATGAAGTGACTCTCAGAGCAGTTCTGCAGATGTTGTTCATGTATTTATGTCCTCATTTAGTGAGACGGCAGACGCTGAAATCACTGCGAGCGTCACACGCACTTCGGTACGAGTAGTAAACAAAACCGTGCATCTACGCCATTTATTAACACAGAGACAGGCAGAATTCATATTTAAATAGTCGTTTTATGGCTTAATATTTACAAATACTAGTGGGAGTGTGCTCATTTGTGTGTGCACGCGCACGTGTGTGTGTGTGTGCGTGCGCATCGGGGCGGAACTCCACTGTGCGCGAAGCAGAGAGCACGACTAAGTAACGTAGAGACCGAAATGACATGCCGTCGTGTAAATAAGATAAATAACATAAGGCTATTTAATTTGTTTAATAAAAGAACAAGGTATAGACCTGTTCTATTGGAAAGGTAACTTTAAATTACTTCTGTTGTGATCTGGCGCTATAGAGAAAGTATAATTAAATAAAATTAACTTGCCCTTCAAGGGGGGTGGGGGGCCGGGCCGCCCCCCTAATATAATGGCAGGGGAAACACTGCATCATATATTATAAAGCTCTTCTAAGATGGTACACAATACATTTTGTATTTGTCACAATAACAATATCAAAGTAAAATAAATAAATGTATGAAGCCTGAATGAACGTAACTGCTTCATTTTCACTGTCGTATCTGAATATGGAATAATTTATGTATATTAAACTAATTTATTCTCTGAACATACGCTATGTTATGACGGACGAGGTAATCATTCACTTATGTCACAAAAAAGACCAGCATGTGTTATCTGGATCTTCAGTTTAGGAACAAACAGATTTGTTTGTGATAACTACATTAAACCTGGACAAGTTAGTCAAACTGAAAAGGGCAGAGATCTACAGAAGTAGAGGTATATGAGCATTCATACAGACCAAAATAAAGCAAACAAAATCCTGGACAAGTGATAAATGAAATCAGAATTATGGCAGTAGGCTTGCAGTACTTTTTTTCTCTTTTTAATAAAAAGATTACAGGATTTCAAAAGTCTGTTCTGAATTAAACCTCACTTCCTCTATCCATAGCGCCGAGCAGCCCAAACCTCACATATCTAATTAAATCAGGAATCATGGGCATTATTTAAGACTTTATTACCAGGCCAGTGAAATTCCCAATGCTCTGAATTCTTAAACAGGTGTAGCTGTTGTTTCCAGAAGCTTGTATTTACGGTGACTTATGAAAGCTTAATCTGCAATGCTTGAAGTATTCACTAATACCATATGTACAGTGGGAGTGCCGTACAAGGCTGTGTGCTAACGCCGGTCTTCTGAGAGCCACGCGGACACCTCTGTCATGGATATTAATGGTGTGAATACAGAACAAATTTCCCCCATACAGTGCTGCAGCCATTCCCTCGTGTTCCCCAAAGCAGGGTACTTAGCAGAGCAAGGACGATAGGAACGGGAGAATTTCTGCAAAGAAAGTTTTGTTTCAGATGTGTTGCTAAGGGACTGAGGCAAAGACTCGCATACTATTTCAATCGCAGCTGTGCTCATAAGTTCAATAATAAGCTATGTTAATTAAACAATAGCACAGCAGGTTTGTTTTATATTTATTTATTTATTTTTCTATTCCCCCTCTGTCTTCCAAGTAAATTCCTGTTTCTCTCAACACTCATAAATACCAGTAAAATTTGGCTTTGGCAAATAAATAAATAAAGTTACTCAACAGCTGGCAGAAATTGTATTATGAACTGAAACATAATTTATTGTTTTAATTTTAATGTAATGGATGGATGGATGGATGGATGGATAGATAGATAGATAGATAGATAGATAGATAGATAGATAGATAGATAGATAGATAGATAGATAGATAGATAGATAGATAGATTGATAGATTGATAGATTGATATATATATATAGATAGTGTTCAAAAGTCAGTAAGATTTTTTTATGTTTTTGAAAGAAAAAAAATATCTTATGCACACCAAGGCTGCATTTCTTGTTCAAAAATCCACTGAAAACAGTGATATTGTGAAATATCAATATACTTTCATTGTTTGATGAATATAAAGTTCAAAAGAGCAGTGCCTTTTTTTTGGCAACATTATAAATGTTTTAAGGGTCAAATTAATGCACTCTTGCTGAATGAAAAGTATGAATTTCTTGAAACAAATAAGTAAATAAATAAATCTTACTGACTACAAACTTTTGAATGGAAATGTAGCTTAGTATAAAATTGATCATCATCAGAACTTTTATATTCTTTGCATTAAGCAAAAAAAAATATATATATGTCATCATGTTTTTGCGATGGTGCACTTTACTATTTTCACCTGTTTGTTGCAAAGATTATTTTTGTCTTCTTACTGGTTTCTCACTGAGCCCTGCTCTCAACAATATCTAAGCTGTCTAATATTTAAGAGCAAGAGAAGGCCAGCACACAAAAAAAAATTTAGAAAGTGCCTCTGGTTCTCGATCCCTAATATAAATCCACATTATTAAACAAGTTAATAGACTTCGACACAAACCCACGGGACATAGAATGAGGTGTGTATATTAATTAATTTGATATAAGCCCATATAAATCAATAAATAAATAAAATAAAAAAAGTTTTCTTTTGCAAAGAAATGAAGTAGCGTTGAGTGAAAGCTTCTATTATTAAGTTTAGTAATCAATTATTAATGCAACTGTAGCAGTGAAATATTGTGAAGCCGCTGGTGATTCATTATTTGACCAGAAAACTAACAAGATGAAAAGTGCACAACAATGCAATTTCACATCTGGACTTCTGCAGACCTGCAGAGGCAAACCCCTGCCTAGAGTTCCTGTGCAGATTAGCACCCACTTGAGACGCCTAATTGCCTGCAGCTGAAAGGACTAATTGAGACGCCACATTTTCAAACCTATTTTGAATCACAGCGTTCTTATAATAAGCCGAGCGGAACTGTACGCCACTCCCGCGGCAATACGTATCAAAGCCCGGCTCACACATCACTTCCTGTTTTTAGCACAAGCCTCCAGATGTACGACACTGTCTAAACTCAAAAGAAGATCGGATGTGAGCGCATTGAGATCTGTTTGGTATAGTTGTTGAGATTGTGGGGGGAAATATTCTTCATGCATGCCACTGAAGACGCTCGTATTCATGCACTGTGTAATCAAAGATGGGCAAATGAGATAGAAGACACGTTTAGAAGAGAGAGTTTTAGAAAATATCTTAGTATGAACCTGCCTTTGAGACATGATCTTGAATGCATCGGGAAGATAACAGTTGATGTTCTCCATTTGAAAGGGGTCAGCATCGCAGATCTTGTCGTCTGTCCGGCCGTAATTAGCACTCTCGATCATGATGACATCACTTCCTGGACAGCGTAGGTCGATGGGGTAACCCTCACAAGACAGCTCCCGCCTCACCAGACCAAACGGCATGGCTGCCCGACTAAACCCTGGAAGACAGAGAGAGACTTCAGACAAAAAAATAAAAATGCTATACAAAAACTAGTGTCATGAAGTGTCAAGTATCAAGAGAAAGAAGTCTGAGTCAAGTTATTTTAAAGGCTGTCAAACTGACAGCAAACAGTGTTTCAGCCCAGAATCAAAAGAAGGAAATAAGGAATGGTGGCTATTTTAAGAAACTTTTAGATTTTTTTACACTAGCTATGTTTCCATCCAAAGATGCAAATTTAACGTATGCGCAAAACTGGAATATCGCATAAAACATTTGCAAATAAAACACAGTTTCCATCCAACGAGTCAAAAACAACAAAATCGTCACTTCCTGATAAACTGGCACTAAATATCTCTAAGAAAACTAGGAGAAGCCACTGAATATAATAATTTTCATATGTAATAAATTAATTAAGCTTCAGAGAGAGCAGACGTAACACAATAAATTCGGTCATTGCTTTTAGAGGTGGATGCCTGCTGTTTGGGAACGCAGCCATGTTAAGGCCCGTTCACACCAAGCACGATAACTATAAAGATAACGATAAAGATATAGTTCTAAAAATCGTCCACACCACAACTATAACGATAACGGCACAGAGAAACAATATCGTTGGAATAATTTTCAGAATGATTTTTTTCTAGCTCATGAACGATACAAACATTGACAGCCAATCAGAATCCATCCTGCTATAACGAGCTCGAGAATTTAAAGCGGCAGACGTGCGTGCGCTTAGAATAAACAGACGATATTGTTCGCTGGTGTGGACGCTAATATCGTTATCGTTATCGTTATCATTCTTGGTGTGAACGGGCCTTAAGACAGTAATTCTACAGAAATACTTTGATAACAGACTTTCCTCAGGCATTTCAGAATGACCAAAACAACATATAGATGCTGTCAAGTTATCCCGTCTCATAGCGCAAAGTCACATGCCTTTTTCAATGCGCATGGTGGAATTTATTCCTACTCAGGTGTGCGCATACGTTTTTTTATGCACATTTTTTAAATTTATGTGCATCTTGGCGTTTCCATCCAGCGTTTTTTATGCGATAATCCAAAATGCGCATAAAAATAGGTGGATGGAAACATAGCTACTGATTTTAAGCAAATAAAATGTTCTCAGCAAATTCTAATTTCTTGCAAAAACTGATGAATTTATATAATGAATGAGAGATGCAACAATGCTGCAAGTGCTAACAATCCATGTACAGTTACAAAACTAAATATCAAATATAAAGTACTGACACAAGTCTTTCTCTCCATTTTATGGAAGGGTGAGAAAGGCCAAACAACAAGATAGACAGAGTCAGTAAAAATAAATAAAATAAATGTCTGCTCAGAGAGTGAAATCTGGTCCTGAGCTCAGAGCAGCATGTAAAGGGCATTTCCCTCATCATGCTAATGTCAAACACAAATAAAACACATTCAGTCAATCACAAGCCCTGACCTTAAATATATCCCTATATTTCGAAATTAATCTCACGTGCAAAATGCATAAGTACGAGAAAAAATAATCAGTTATGTGCAATGACTGAAAATTTTATCTATCCATCTGCCCAGAAGGTGTATTAAAAAAAAACACACACACACACCAAATCAAATTTAAATAAATAAACAAAAAAGCAAAAATAAAACAAACAAACAAATTTATAGCGAATTTCTTGCAACCACAGCCGCCAGTTTTTTCCCCTTTAAATTTAACAGGATTTTAACATTTAAAAAGTGCTTGTTAACAAAACGCCTTTTTTCCGTCTCTTATTGCTGCAGTCTGACTGATAAAGGATAAAGGTCTCACTGCAGATTTGAAGCTTAAATTGATTATAATTTATTATGTGGTGACTTTGATTTTGTGGGGCAAATATAGGACACATTACTCCTGAGGTGCAAGCGTCCTCAGCAAACATTCTATTCAACCATTAGATAATGTCTAAAGGTCAATGATCATTCAAATCTAGTACATAAATATATCCTTCATGACATGCTTAAAATGAATACTGTATGTTAATATAACCATGACTACAGGATAAATTATTATTATATTAGAGAAAACATTATGTTAGTGTTCAATGTCCCAA